CAGTTGCAGAGGACACCGAGAAGTGACACGGACAGCGTGAAGGGCCCGCGAGATACGTCAGCGAGGGCCCATAGAAGTGAGAATTTGTGTGAGTGGTACTCGAGAAAGGAACAGCGATGGGGCTCCGAGGAAAGGCAGCGAGAGGTCCCGAGAGTACAGGACACCTGAGATCAACAAGGTACACCGATAAGTCAAGGGTTCAGATCAAAGGACAGCCGAGGGTTTCCGAGATGAACCACCTGAGGAGGTGACCGAGAAGAGACACCGTTTTGTGTGGAGAGAAGTCCGAGAGAAAGCGATACCCTGGAGGAGGAAGTATATAAGGACACCGTGAGCAGTGATCGACAAAGAATAGGACAGCAGAGACTGAGTCCGAGAAGGCACTCACCGAGTGAGTGAAGGGAGAGAGCGATTTGGCTCTGATGAGATGGAATCATTCGCCGTGAGAGTGAGGGAGTCCGAGAGATAAAAGCGAGTGAGGTGTCATCCGAGAAAGTGAGTCAACCCGAGGACCGAGAAAGACACCGAGGGGCCCGACACCGGAGCAGCGAGGCTGAGAAGGCGCAAGAAGGACAACGAGGGGTCCGAGATAGAGAGACCAGGTACAGAGTCCGAGATATAGGACAGCGTGTGCGAGAGAGTGTGCAGCGATGCACAGGGAAGCAATGGTACTATGTTGCGAGCAGGCATCGCTCAAACACGGACCAGCGAGGGTCCGAGCAGGAAACAACACCTCAGGTGAGTCGAGATAAGGACAGAGGAGGTTCGGGTGAGAAATAAGCACACGAAGGCGATGTTCGCAGGGGACAGCGAGGAGTTTCGAGTAGACAGCGAGGTGAGGTGGCCCCGAGAAAGGACAGCGAAGAGTTCACGGTAGAAGGTTGACACCGAGTGAGAAGGGTCCGAGATATTAGCACACCGAAAGGTCCGAGAAAGACAGCGAGTGGTTCCGATGTGAAGGGACAACGAAGGTTAAAGTCACGAGGATAGCACCCGCGTAGTGTATCCGAAGAAGCGAAACACCGAGAGAGTCGAGAAGGACACGAGGAGTCCGACAGAAGGACATCGAGAGTGAATACGAGAACGACAGCCTCGAGGGGACACGCAAGCCACCACGGAGAGAGGGGTCGAGAAAGGCGACACTGTAGCAGAGCTCTCATCACGACAGTGGATACACACGAGGCTCTCAGAGAAGCTAAAACCAGCGAGAGGTTGTCATGAATGAAGCACCCGAGAGGGCCTCTGAGAGGACACCGATAGAGTGTGTATTCTCAAGAAAACACACGCAGCGTGAGAGGCAACAACTCCTCATAAGAGACACGCGAGAGCGAGCACTCCTGAGATAGACAGTACCGGTGCAGGGGGTGCGACACGACTACTCGTGAGGAGAAGTCGCGGCAGGAAGGGCACACAAGGGGACTGCCGAGCGAGGAGGAACCGACAGCCAGTGACGGCGCGTCCACGAACGGACAGCGCGAGGCGCGCGCGTGTGCGAGCGGGTGAATCACCGAGGAACGATGTCCGAGCGAGATTAGGAAGTTGTGGAGAGAAGAACCGGAATGTAGATCAGAGCGGGGTCCGTAAGGTGCGCCGGCGCGGGTTCCTCCGAGAGAAGGACTACGGCGTGCGCCGAGCGTAAGACAGGCACGAGGAGTCACGAAGTGCAAAGACACTTGAAGGGAGAGGTGCCTGGACAAAGGACATTGCCCACGGACGAGAGAGTCTCCGAGAAGGTGACCAAAGAGGGCGTCACCGAGGAACGCTATCGCAGAGTGGAAGCCGAATAGAAAGGACAAACTTCACCGAGGGTCCGGAGACCTACGGAATAGAGTCCCGTGAGGATGACAGTGCCCGCGTGAGCGTGCCCTGCTAGACCATGACCACAAGAGGGGATCGAAGAAGTACACCCGCGAGAGACGAGTGATACGGAAGAAAGGACTTGCGCCTATGCGCCCGAAACGGTCACACTAGGGTGGCTCCGAGCGCAAAAGGAGGCCCACCCACGGCGGCCGCCAGAGAGAAGGAAAAAAACAAAGAGCCCAAAGAGAGACCACCGAGGGCCCCGCAACCCGCAACCCCACCGCGAAGGCGCCCCGACCGACACGGACCCGTCGCGAGGTCTACGGCCATGCAACTGCGACCACCCGGAGCGCGTGCGCGCCAGAGCGATCGCGAGCAGAGAGCGCTTACCCGCGGAGGCGCAGCTGGCCTGAGCGCACAGGTACACACACTGGCGCGCCTTCTAAGAAGCGCAGCCGCGAGCGAGGGTGCCTCTGACCAAGCCGCCGTAGGGTCCGAGAAGCGACACCCGAGGAGCGGAGTTGCGCGAGCACAGGACACCACAGGGGTCCGAGCAGGGCAGACCGAGCCCGCAGGTGAGCGAGATACGGTACACCAGGGGCGTCGACACACTCGCGACAACGAACAGACACGGGGTCCGACGAAGGACACCCTCAGAGTCTATCGAAAGGCACCACCACGCGAGGGGTCGAGAAGACCGCGAGGGTCCGCGTCAGAAGACAGCGAGGGGTCGAGAACGGACAAGGCGGTATCCGAGAAGACCAGCGAAAGGGTCCTAGAAGGACACCGAAGGGGTCCCCGAGAAGGTCACCGTGGGGTCGAGAAAAAACGAGGGCCCGGAGAATAGGAACGAGGAGTCCGAGAGAGAGAGCTAAGGAACAGTGAGGGGTCTGAGAAGGATACCAAGGGTCCGAAGGACACGCGGAGGGTTCCCTGAGACACGGTGAACCCTCCCATCGGCCCCAGAGCAGAAGCTGCACCGAAAGGGCACAACGCATTAGGAACACTTCCGAGGAGAGCCCGAGGAGAGGGTCAGCCATCGCGCGAGCCCGGCACGAAAGGAACGCTGGGGCCTCCTATCGAAGCCTCTGAGCTTCCGTCGGGCCTCCACGAATGCCATCCTGAGCTCCCGTGGCCTCCGCCGAAGACTCCTGAGCTCACGTGGCCAGTCCGCCGAAGCTTCCCTGAGCTCCCTGGCCTCCGCCGAAGCCCTCCACCCGAGATGATGCCTCCTGAACCATAGCCGCTCGAGCTACCATAGTGCCTCGTGTTGGCCGAGAGAGCCACTGCGCCGAGACACGCCAGAAGTGCCACTGCCAAAGACCTCTTGCCGCCAGCCTGCGGGGAACATGCGGTTGAGATGATGCGAAAGTACGATTCGGAGGCAAGAAAAGCAGTGTGAAAAGAGAAGTGATGACCTAATGTAGGCTAATTCATAAATGTGCTGAGCTGCTAAGTCGCCAAGACGTCGACCGAGCGCGCATAAACATTCGCCTGACTGAAGGCGGAGTGCTTAGTCGACTTACCATGGTCCTCGAGAGTCGAAAAGGTTGTGTCGGGATAAACGAAGCCGCCCTTTATATACCCACGGCAGCTATGGAGATGACTGGAGGAAATCCCGTGGCTGTATGGACAATGAGGGGTGATTAAACACTTTGGGTCTCTGACGTCATACCAGACGAAGAAGGAGAAAAAATCGGACCGCTTTCTTTGAAGCCTAACTGGGCTCTTTCCTACAGGGAATCAATGTTCGCAGTTGTGATGTCTTTGGTTGTTACAGCTGTCCCTTCTGATGCTGAATATTAGTTACTTAACATATATGAAGCATAGTTTACATATGACTACTGCGTGCTATAATCGCCACGCGAAGCATTTCTGTTATATAACTGGGGTATCCCGGCTTTCCCCTGGGCTGTGTCGGTCATGGTAACGGTTAGCAATGGCCAAAGAAAAGAAAGCTTATGTTGCAGGATGACGAACTCTCTCTCTCTCTCTCTCTCTCTCTCTCTGTCTCTGTCTCTGTCTCCTCTCTTTCGTCTGCTGGAGATGGTTGATAAAAAAACAAACTTACTGGATGATGATGTCCTCAATTTTCCATCTCAATCTCATAAATATTTCCCAACTACTCCAGGCAGATATTTTCATATTCATATTTCTTCGTGGAAGATTAAAAAAAAAATCTGTCCTTCTACTTCAAAAATTATATGCTGTAAGACTTTGTACAATATTCTTCCCACTGATGTCGCAATGTTGCAAAAAGAAATTAAAATCGCATGCATATCAAACAAACAAGGAGTCGTTATTTGTTATTGTTTGATCAAAAATTACTGCGTAATGTGTTGGGAAATGCGCGCGCGCGCGATTGTGCATATGTGTGCCTGTGTGTATGGAAAGCACCTATTTAGTAAGAAACTTCAGTAATCTAGAGAGAGAGAGAGAGAGAGAGAGAGAGAGAGAGAGAGAGAGAGAGAGAGAGAGAGAGAGAGAGAGAGAGAGAGAGAGAGAGAGAGAGAGAAATTAGAATTGCAATATCTAAAACGCACCTGAAGCATATTATCTCGACACATTTTCCTCTAGAACATGGGTCCCCTAACCTGTGGTCGGCCATGACCACAAAGAATCCATGAATAGGTTTTCAGGGGGGTCC